TTACATTACAATAATTCTTTTTATGATTTTTCTTACATTTAATTATATTTAGAATTGTAATAGCTCTTTCTTAATATTTTATAACACTTTTTATCCATTTCATACCAAATGATACTCATTTTAGTTTTTTTTTTCTCGCTTTTTTACATTGCCTATTCATTTTTTTAATTTTTAACTATTTTACTTATATATTTAAAAAATAATAATTAGTTAAAAATTTATGTTACCAACATAATTATTTACATTAGAATAATATTTTTTTACAATTATTCTTACCATCTATTATGTTTATAATTGTTATCTCTTTCTAAGTGCATTGTGACACTTTTTATTTATTTTATGTCAAATGACACTAATTATACATTTCTTTCTTTTTGTTTATGTTACCAATTTATTTTTTAATTTATAACTATTTTCTTTACATACATACATATATATATATATATACAAAACAATAATTAATCAAAATTTTACATTGTCATCATAATTATTTACATTATAATAATACATTTCTACGTTTGTTTTTACTTTCCAATATGTTTAGAATTGTTTTAATTTTTTTCTTAGTATATTATAACATTTCTTACCTATTTTACGTCAAATAATATGAATATTACGTTTCCTTTCACCTATTTACATTATCTATTTTTTTTATTTATTTGATATTTTTATATATTTAGAAAAACAATAATTAATTAAAATCTTATGTTGCTAACTTAATTATTTACATTTTAATAATATTTTTTACGATTATTCTTACATTTTATTAGATTTAGAATTATCATAACTCTTTCTTATGTGTTATGATACTTCTAACATATTTTATAGTAAATGATACAATTTTTACAATTTCTTTCCCCTACTTACGTTAATAAAATTTTTATTAATTTTTTATTCTAAAATATCATTTTTTATGTTATTTTTTATTCTTAAAAGTATTTTTAACTATTTTTCTTACATACTTATAAGAAAAATTATTAATTTAAATTTACGTTACTAACTTAATTATTTATGTTAAATAATTCTTTTAATGCTTTTTTTGTATTTAATTATGTTTGAAATTTTTTATAATTCATTTTTTAGCATGTTATGACATTTTTATCTCATTTGACATAAATTGATATAAATTTTATTATTTCTCTAATCTATTATGTTAATAATTTTTTATTTTATTTTAAAATATAAATTCTTTTAGGTTAATTTTTTCTTTAACAGAATTTTACGTTAATACTTTTTAATTTCTTTAGAATTATTTTTTATTTTAAAATACTTTTTAGTTATTTTAGAAGATACCAATTACAGTAAAAATTTTTTAAAAATTTAATTATTATTTTTTATTTTTAAGTAATTTCATAAATATTTAATAAAGTAGAAAATAAAAAAAATTTTCCTAAAGTGAAAATTATTTAAATTTTGTATAAAATTTTATAAATTTTGTTTTGCAATCCATTACTTGATAAACATGTTTTACCTTTTTTTATTTTAAAATTTAATCAATAATTGATATTTAATTATATAAATTTAATAATTATTTTTTACCGACCTTATTGTAAGATTAAAAAAATTTAAACTTATTATAAAAGTGCCCGTGACCAAAATGGTAAATTAGGTAAGTTGAGGTGGGTTAAGAATATATATATATATATATATATATATATATATACTTTTACTTTGAAGTAATGGGCTTTATTTGTCTCAAAATAAATTAATTTGTTATTTGGTTACTGTAAACAACCCCAAATTAGACTTAGCCCAATTAATATTTCCTCTCGGGCTTTGAGTCTTGACTCTTGAGAGTGTTTGCCGAATGACTACTTTACCCATTTGCTTTTTATTTGCTAATATTACTTAATATAGGCTAACACTGCTTTGTGTGGACTTTTAAATTTATGGTCAAACAAACGAATTATGGTATTGGTTCGAATTGAAGCCCCTCTAAACTGTAAGTGGGTATAGTTAAAATTTACATTGCCAGCCTTTGGAGGGCCTTTTGAACTACATTTAGGTTTATTTTAGAAGTATTTTTCCCTTTATTTATAACAAAAAGTTGATTCTACTACTTAATACAGATGAAATTATATAGAAGTACACAGAATCAACATCCTTTTAAAATTTAGAAAGATTATTAAATTAAATGGTAAATTCAACCTTTTCCTTTAAGATAAAATTAATAATATCATCAATTAATTGCAAATATACTTAATAATATTGTAAATGAATTTGTTAAATTCAACATAAATAAATCTGTTTAGATTAGTCTAAAAAAATATATAAACAAAATAAAAAGACCCCTTACTTATTGTGAAAAGAATAATTTGTCTCAAATGTGTCCTTTTTTAGACCTAGTAAGCACTCTTTTTTTTTTTTTAAACTACCTACTAAGCATTCCTAATTTTCAGAATTTATTGTATATATATTTTTTATGTATTTAAGGCTGCTAAACAATATTAAATTTTTATCATTGAAATTAAAATTTTAATTTAATTAATTAAACATTTCTTATTACCTAATATATATCAGTTAATTAAGCATTCGATGTATGGATCCAATGCTAATTTAGTGATCTAATTTAGTCATTAAAGATTAATTACATTCAAACATTTGGTTGGAGTCTTGAGCATGCCCTACTTTGGATGATGGTCTAGTAATAAAATAAAAACAAGAAAAAGAGAGAGCAATTACACTCCGTTTGGTAGGAGGAATAAAATAAGGAAGAAAAATATTTTAATTTAATGGTTAAGCTAAATAATAATATATATTATTTTGAGTTATTATTTTATAGTTCAACCATTCAATTAGTTTTTTTCTTTTTTACCCCTTTCTTTCTTTTTTTGTTAATTAAACAGAGTTTTAGTTTTATTATTATTTTTACATCCCTGAACAAATTGATGATATTACCATAAACTTTGTTTAAATCATTATTGCTAATTTTGTTTCAATAAAAGTTTGTTCAAATCATTATTGTTAATTTTATTTCGACAATAGTTGTAATAGTTGATATGTTCAGTTATGTCAAAATATAGTACATTTAAGAACAGTGTTTTGTGTCAGACTTTGTATTAGATAATAGTGGTTGTTTCATTAGCTTCGACTAATTTTGATAAATTTCGATAAAATAATTTATTTCGGTTAATACATAAATATAAAATATATTTTGTAATTTTTAACTACTTGTTTTTTGTTTTGTTTTATTTTATTTTACTATTTTTAATCTAATAAAAAAAAACTAATGAACAAAATAATTTTTGAAAATTGAGTTTTTCTATTTTTTGTTGCAACTTATTTTCTTTTATATTCTATCTTTCCAAATCAAAATTTATAAATATTTCAATCTTTTTCAAAAAAGAAATTATGCTCCCTTTAAAGTTTAAAAATCCTAAAGTTGAAATTAATTTCTTTTTATCTCTTTCTTTTTATTTTTATATTTTTTACATGAATAAAAAATTGCTTATTTAAATATTATATGATCAAACTAAGTGTTTAAAAGTATCATGATAAATTGATGATATTATTTGTTATACTTTTGAACTTATTTATTTGATTTTTAAAGATATTGTATATTTATTTTGCATATTATTAATAGTATTACTATATATATTCATATATATTTATAAATATATTTGTATTAAATTAAAAAATCCAAAATAATTTACCAAAACAATTAGTATCAATATATCCCCTTTTGTTAAAAAAACCCAAAACATTATGCGGTATAATATTAACAATTTTGGTTCACATATTAGGTTGATTATCATCTTGTTTTGAGAAATAAATGAGTATTGGTTAACAAGGTGAAACTGAAAATAACTTTCTTAGAGAGGATGATGATGGAATGGATTAATAGTTTTTTACTTTGAAATGATTTAGTTTGAAGGAAAGCCATTTAAAATGAAAATTTATGGGCTGCAAGGTCGCAATCCATGCCCTAATTACCCACTATATATATATATATATAGTTATTGTTTTTATTGTTCAAACACTATACATATATAGTTAATAAATAATGAAGATTTTAATATAAAACAATAATATCTCACTGCCAAAAAGCTAAACATTATTACATTAATAATGTCATGATATAGCCAGGTATGAATATGATGTGAGAAAGAAATAGAGCAACTGGACTTTACATGTCATGCAAAAATAGTATATGATAAATGGGCTTAATAATGTCTGATTAAATATACAAGTGAGAAAGTGACATGGGAACTCTCCATTTTTAATAAACCATAATAATCTCCTCTTTCACCATGTAGCCAATTCTATTGTTTTGTCTTGGTGGTTCTGTTCATCTTTGGGTCTCTTTGCAGGAAGAAGGATTCTTCAAGGGTTACCTTTTGCATTGAAAAGGCAAAAGGATTTAAGTTATTGGTAACTTGTTGTAGTAGCACAAGAATAAAGTTTGCCGACACCAAAAAAGGTGGGTTAATTACCAATTATCATTCAACTTAATATAACATCAATACACTTACGGATCATTAAAGACTTTGGCTTATTTGAGATTTCCTGACCTTCGTTTCTCAATCTTAACGAAGTTAGATTCGCAATTTAATTTAAATTCTGACCACGTTTGTGCTTTGTCTACATACGTGAATTTCATTCAGCGAAACTTTTGCTAGGTGTCCTTCAAAGTACACGCTGATTACATGAGTGAGAGCTTATTAATTTGCCAATTAAGCAACTATTTATGGAAAACGTTGCCGCAAAAGGGGAAAAAAAATTAACAAGAAGGACGTGTATGTGTATCCCACTTTTTCCGGCTTCAACATAGGAAGACTTTTGTCGGTTATAATTGACAGGTTGCCTAATCAGATTTTTCGTATCATATGGGCGGGCCAGTGAGATAAAGTACCAACTGGAAGGGGAAGCCTGCAGAATTTATTTCTCAAGTTAATTTAAAAAAAAAAAAAAAGCTTGCAGTTACAAACTGGACGGTACAGTATCCAATTCCCCGTAGCACATGGAGGGTTGGGAATTTTCTTTTGTATTATTTTTCCTAGTTTTGACGGGGGAGGGAGACAATGAGGTCATCACACGTGGCACATGGGTGTTGAATAGAGAGACTTGTTTCAGTGGCTATTTAAAATTCAAGGAAACCGTGGCAAATCAGGTGCGGTGGAAAGATCTGATTTTAACCAGCGAGCTGATTCCAACAGTCCACCATCCACCTCCAACCTATCCTCACATCTCACACTCCCATTCCTATATTTTTTTCCCTCTTCCTCCTTGTTTTGACAGTCTCTCAAGAACACAAGTTAGGTGTTCTTTCTTTTCAGTTTTTTCTCATGTGGTCTCAACCTACCTCATTTCTTGCATCATCTTCTGGTAATAAAATCCCAAATCCTAAACAGAAAAACGGCAACTTTCATATCTATCTTTCTTTCGTTGAACTTGCTATGTCTTAAAAGGAGTCATTTTTGTTTTGTTTTTGGTAACCTTATGAAGAGGGATATGCGTTCACATTTGAGTTCAAGGTACTGTAATCCCAACTTGGGTATCCTTAAATTTTGGACTTTGTTAAAATAGAGCCAAAAGGGTACCCAAATAATCTATCTTTGTTCTGGAATTTTTTTCCTGTTGATTGGTTTTCAGGTTCCTTTCTATATATAGAAAGATGGTGGGTGGGAATGGGCTGTTATACCCAATTCTTGGATTTGCATCATGTGTGGCTTTTATTTACATGTCATTCGGCGACTTGAAGTTTAGTAGTTTCCCTGAGGAACCAAGGATAAGTTTTGTGGAAAGGAATGGGACTCAGTTCTTTTTGGATGGTAAACCGTTGTATGTTAATGGGTGGAATTCTTACTGGTTAATGGCCCATTCTGTGGATGAAAATAGTAGATCTAGGGTCAGTGCAATGCTGCAAGCTGGTGCAAAGATGGGTCTCACTGTTTGTAGAACTTGGGCCTTTAATGATGGAGGTTATGATGCTCTCCAGATTTCCCCTGGGCAATTTGATGAGCAAGTTTTCCAGGTAATAGAAGGAAATTCACACTTTTTTATATAAATTTTAATATGATACAAATAATCTACATTTTATTCAATGCATGATTATCAGCTTTATAATTTCAATGCTAGATGATCTGGGTGTTCAATGCAATCTTAATTTTAGCACTTAGGTCTCCATTTTGCTAGGTGTTTGATTTTACATGATTTTATCTAAATTCAATTCCAACATTTTCGGTTTCAAGCTTACCGATTAACAACCAAGTAATTGTGGACCACATACAAAAGCAGTAAAGAGATTTCCAATGTGCATATTCAAGATGGTTTAGATTATTGCACCTTTTTGCTTGACTGAATTAGGTTTTTCCTGAATATAAAGATAATTGGGCTCTCTAAGAATGTAATTTAGCAAGCTAGAAATGAAAGAGAATAGAAGGAAAAACTATTCAAATTGCTTCAATTTCTCAGCTGCTTGATTAGAAACCTGTCAAAAATCCCTGAATCCTTGACTCTGTCACATTCTCTGATGTCAGTTAGCATGATTGTAGAGTACATTTTCTCTATTATTGTTATTTATGTTGACAACTTTAGGTTGTGGCAGGCCTTGGATTATGTCATTGCAGAAGCAAGGCAACATGGAATTAGGCTGCTTCTTAGCTTAGTAAATAACTTGCAAGCATATGGTGGAAAGACACAGTATGTCAAGTGGGCATGGCAAGAAGGTGTTGGTTTGAGCTCTTCTAATGATTCCTTCTTCTTTGATCCATCAATCCGCAAATATTTCAAGAATTATGCCCTGGTATCTGATTGTCTAACTAGTTATCTAGATTTGAATTATCTCTTTTCTTATATTTGAATAATGGGAATTTTCTTCCCCTGCATGATGATGCATGTGTATGACTGTTCTTATACTCTTCAGTAAACTGCTAGTAATTGTGCTGACATTATGCTGTTGAAAGAGGGAAATCTTAATTTTCAAGGAGGAACCTGATACTGGAAATATCTCAGCCACTTGCTTATTAATTTTGTCTATAAAACTCTGACTATTATTGGATAGGGTCTTATAAACAATATGGACCAAGTGTTTCACCTGTAGATGACAAACATTAAAGCTACTAACAACAAATTGATTATGAAAGAGAACTGAAACAATTTATAAGTGAAAGGAAATTGCTTACATGTTGTTAGGCTGTATGAAGTTTTATTCTTTCCTTCGTCTTTCTTCTTTTAGGACAGAAGTGAAAGATATATGATAGTTGTTTTTTTCTTTCTTTTCATGAACAAAAAAAAGGTTTTATTAGCCTGATTTTTGCCTTCTGAAAATTCAGATATGGTAATCATTGTTGATGCAGAGTCAGGAGCTTGAGTGCATCTGGTACAGTTTATTAGACAGTTTGGCAATATGTTTCGGTAATAACCTGAAATTTGAAAATCAATGACTGAAAATGTAATGGGAAAATCACAGGATAGGCAGAAGAGAAATCCTAGTAAATCTCTTGACTTATCCTTACATAATAAAGACAAATATAAAATCAAGATGTGGGTTTTAGCCTTGGTTATGTTTTGTGATGTTAATGGATGGAGTATATTTGTACAGTTTGCTAGGTTATCTGCATATTTTTCAGAAAAGTCTCCTTTGTCCCAGTGCCAGCCACTAATAAGTAGCAAAACACTGTAGTCCCAGTGCCAGCCACTAATAAGTAGCAAAAAACTGTCTTCCCAGGATCTTCTTTGCCAATGCAGTATATACTAAAACGTCATTACAAACTTTGCAGAGACATGGTTGTATGGGAATAAGGTTGACAAATAGGCCAACCAACAGTATGATCTCATTTGAGGGGGAAATATAGTTTCTTCTGTAGTGGTTTCTTGATTTCTTTTCTAATATTTGCAATATCATAAATTCAAAATTGTTTTCTACACTGCAATAATGTCTTATTTTGATCTATTTCTCTTTCCCAGACTGTCCTCACAAGGAAGAACACCATTACTGGAATTGAATATCGGAATGATCCCACCATCTTCGCTTGGGAATTGATGAATGAACCCCGTTGCATGTCTGATCCTTCTGGGGATACCCTTCAAGTGAGTGATGAGATCTTACAATATTTAGAAAAAAAAAAAAAGAGATCTTACTCTAGTTATCCTAAGCACTAATATTGACCCTAGATTGGTTTCTAACTTTGCTCTCTACCTCCTATTATATTATCTTGAACAATTATGCTTAACTTAGGTGAATGCAACGTTGTCTTGTAAAAATTTTAATATTAATGGAGTGACGGGATTAGGGTGATTGTGGAAAATATGTTTAACTTTCTATGGAATATATGTTTCCCTCTTCCACGAATGCAATCAAAGTTTGTTGATTGTTTGAAGCAAATCTCAACTTCAGGGACTTAAAACTGAAACACAACTCAGTTTCTTTACCATATAATTGACATCTTCTTCTTTACTAGAAGAGCAAAGGCCTATAAAAAATTTTCTATATTTCATATGCATCCATCTCAGAGAGGGGTGGTTTTACTTTCTTGTAAGGTTTATTGATTTGTATCTGAATGTGTGTTGATTATATGGCATGCAATTGCAGGATTGGTTAGTAGAGATGTCAGCTTTCATAAAATCAATTGACAAAAATCATCTATTGACCATTGGCTTGGAAGGATTTTACGGTCCTAAAAGCCCTAAGAAGTCAACTGTGAATCCAGAAGAGTGGGCGTCAGCCCTTGGATCTGATTTTGTTCGCAACTCCAACATTACAAACGTTGATTTTACCTCTGTTCACATATACCCCGACCATTGGTAAGCAATATTGACTGAAATATGAAATTGTATCAATATGCACTTAAAAAATCTATTATATGATACAGAATGAAGCCTGTTATCAGTGGCAGAGCCAGATTCTGAAGATTGTATGGATAATGACAAAATGTGATGGCTAAATGCAAATATGAATTTTGAAATGAATAATCCTTTGTGGCCACAACTTATATATATTTTTAAAAAACGTCCTCAAGCACAAGCAGAAATCAGAGGATTACACAAAGTTCGAGGGGCTATGACCTCTGCCCAATTGTGAACCTACTTTCACCTGCCTTTTAGAAATTAACTTTGGTTGAAATTGTACATTTTACCAGTTGTCTGTTACCCACAATTTGATAAAAATGTTATTTACATTAGTTTCAATTGCCTAAGGCTCAGTTATTCTCTTGAATATATTTCTTTAATAAGCATGTTCTCTCTCTCTCTCTCTCTCTCTCTCTCTCTCTCTCTCTCTCTCTATATATATATATATATATATATAATCCAATCTTTTTTTGCTTCCTCTTTTGTAGGTTTCATGATCTAGGATTTGAGGGGAAAAAAAACTATGTTTCCAAGTGGGTGCATTCACACATTGAAGATTGTGACAAAGAACTGAAGAAACCTGTCATGTTCACTGAATACGGCTTGTCAAACCAGAACAAAGACTTCGAGCCATCCCAGCGAGAGCAATTTTATAGCACTATTTTAGACATCATCTATAAATCTGCAAAGAAGAAAGGGTCTGGGGCAGGTGCTTTAATCTGGCAATTCTTTGTTGAAGGAATGGAAGAGTACAATGATGATTTTGGGCTTGTACCGTGGGAAAGCCCTTCAATTTACAAACTGACAGTAAAACAATCATGCAGATTGGCTAGAATCCAAGGACTCATTCGAGAAAAAAGAAACTTGAAACAACTATGTTCCGAAAGAGAGTAAAATTTGTGCTATCAGAGATAGAAAGTTTATTGGTATTGTACTTTTTTTTTTCTCATAGCCATACAAATTACAATATGGTTAAATAGATATGCAGATATAGCACTAGGTTGCAAGTTTGCACAAATTTCTGTAGCACTGTCGTGACCTCGGAGAATGTTGTGGGTTACAGCACTGCTAACATTTTCCACCCACTCAATATATTGGTATAATTTTTAGATTAATACCGCTCATAACTGAAAACACCCAGCAACACAAAACATAAAAATCCTACATCTAACCACGCTTTGCCAATCTTGGAGAAGTCCTACTCCCACTCTGCACCTCACTCTTACCCTTCTTCAAACTCTTCTTCTTCTTCGTCTTCTTCTTATCTCCTTCAATTTCCGACTCAACGTTAACCTCCTCTACAATCTTCATCACATCACTATTAAGACGCCTCTCTCTTTTGCTGACCACGCCGCTATACTTGGCCACTCTCTCAAAATCATCCCACAATTTCCGCACCGCACCTTTCCTCAACACCCTCTTCTCTTCTCTCTCAATCACCATTTCATTGCCTTCATTTTCGCTCTCCACGTTGTCGTCATTAAGATCCAAGAATCTCCTTCTCTTTACCGCCACAGGAGCAGGAGGGGGCGATGCGGCAGCATCCCTTTTGTTTTTCTTAACGGTAAGATCATCGTCGGGGCTGGCCTCGAGGAGCTTTTCGCGCTGAGCTTTGAGTCTTTTGATGTTGCCTTCGATGCGACCTTGGAGACGGAGGCGCTTGAAACTGAGACCACCCATGGACCAATGGGCTTCATTGGCCCATGAGAGCAGCGGATCAAGGACTGGAACCGGAGGATCCACGCGTTCGGGGTTGAACCTTGTGTCAGTGTAGATACGGGGCCGTGGAAGACTGCTCCCGTAGAACTTGCCCGGGCCGAGAGGAACCACCATAGTTTGGAATTTAGCAGTGGACGTTCTTTGGGAATTTCGACAAAACAATTTAGTTTTTGTGAAAACGTTTTAGAGGGAGTTATTATACAAAAAAGAATGTAGGCATGGCGGGTGAATTTAGCGGGAAAGGTTTGGTTTGGCGCCCAAAGTTAGCGCCATCCTTTGCTGGCAAGTTTTCGGTAAATTCAAGGTTTTGGCGGGGAAGTTGACCGTTGGATTCTCTCTTGGCCGTGATCAGTGACGAGATATTTCAATCAAGCTCTAACTTCTATGATCAACTTAAGTTTCAACGCCATGCTTCATCGATGGAGTGAAATAAAATTATATACTTGTGATTTAATAGTAAAAATAAAATTATATATTAATAATTTAAATATTGAATAATATATAAAGGAAAAAAATTTATGCAAATATTTATATCAAATATATCAAAGATATGAACTTTTTTACTGATATTCTACTATAAGGGGAAAAGTGAGACTGTGGGAAAAATGAGTCGAAAGCCAAAGCAAACCTTGTAAATAATAAAGATTTATCACAAAAAGAAGTAGCTGAAAAATGAGTCTTACAACTAATAGGATCTTAAACTCCAAATCCTCATACATTTAGACTACCTAAAACATTTTGAATTAATCCATTACATGCATAAAAAATATATGATATCTAAACAAAAAAACATCACTAAAAAATCATACCAATGCATTCAATACTTTAGTATCTTTTCCTTTTAGTGAATCAAGATATTGTAACTTTTGATCTTTCTTATTGATAATTGTCAAGCACCAATGTATATCTTTATGTATGGGGATAAATACAGAACAAAATGAAATAATTGATTTAAGGATAAATACAATGTTCAATCATACCAAACAAATGATTGTAGAAAGAAAAGATAAATACATATTTTGTCACAGTTAAATAGGCAGCACCTCAGCTTTTTTTGTGAAGTCTATCTTTTGATAACTCTATAATTATAGCCATTCTTTGAATTTACTAACTGAACATCAAAATTCTAAAAGGAAAAAGTAGCTAAGAAATTAATAGTTATACAAACTTATATGAAAGAACAAAGTAAGGTATGTGAAAATTAAAAAAGGTAGACCGGTAAGCAACTACCTTTTTATAGAAGAAGGTGTTAAAAAAAATGGCATTTCAGAAACTTTTTTAGCTATTTGTTTTCCCTTTCTTTCAATAATTGAAGATAGAGATTAATGACCTTTAAAAAAGAAATTACATGTGTTAAAACCGGATTACCAATTCACTTAAATATGGTAAGTCCTAACTAAATGTGGACAAATTAACAAATCTTTCCAATGATTACTATCTATAGATACACAACACAAGATATAACCCTGAAAGTAATTGAAAATTACCTTATCATTCAACCATGTGCCTAGTTTCAAACGTTGCAAAATTTCTCCTCTAATATCAATGCTCGAGTTATCATAAGAAACAAATATCTTCCTTTTACAAAAGCAAGCACAAAACATAAGTGGCGACAAATCAAATAATCAAATACGAACACATGCATTGTTACATACCAGTTTTTTACAGAAAAAGCTTAGGAAACCTTTGTCGTCTCCTCATTTGTAAAAGGGATAAAAGGTTTAAGAGGTATCACCTGAAATTTGGTAAAAGATAATGTTAATGCCAATAATTTTGAACAAATTAGAAATGTTTTTTATTGTATTCTAGAAGCAACACAAATTCTTTGAAAGATATTACTCAGACAATGCAACTCGATTAAAACTAGGCAAGCAAAAGAATTTCACATTTTCTTGCTCATCCTTTGGTTTTTTTCTTAAGTCATAATGCCTAAAGTCCAACTATACACTCGTCATTCAACTCAATTTTAAAATCTAAATCTTTCAACTTGGGAGTTCTCCTCTCTATATCTTTTCATTATTAAAAAGAATAAAAAATACGAAAGAATATTTGGTTAGAGCTAGGACAGATAATACCAGCAGCACATTAACAAAAAGATTAATCCACATCTCACGTAGCCTTAAGAAATCACCTTTTACCTTCTATTACTTACATTTGGAATGGCCAAAAAAAAAAAAACAATAATATTCAATCATTTATAAATCCACACCATAGCTCAAACTCTAAGGCTACTCATCTCTATCTATATAGACTCAATAAAATTCAAAAGAATAAGAATAGTCTATTTATTCAAAAATTATACCTAAAGAAAGTAAACTCTTAAAATGTATTTAAAACAAATTTAAGCCTACTATTTATAGGATAAGGATAAAAAATCAAAGATACTCGTCAAAAGGTTTACCTTAATGAAAACAAAATAAGGCACAACAGAAATAGAATATTACTCAGATATCTCATGTAATTCTTCAACTTTTACCTATAAAATAATCGTTACCCAATCACACTCAAGTAATAATGTTTAATTAAAAAATCAAAAATAAAAAATATAATCTCTAAAAATGGAATTTGAATGTTAAGGGGAAGAGAAAAACCCTAAAGAAGTCAGAATTAGGGAAATCGATAGAGAGATTGGAAAAGACCTGGTCCATGTGTTTGGAAGCCTCACACCAATAAGCCCAAAAGTGAAGGATAATTGGTGCGCCATTCTACTATAGGCCATCAAGCTCACCCTTTGACTTTATGTCTTTTAGTGAACCATTTTATCCCATTGTTTGATATTGGATTCTTCTTCTTTGCTTCAAAAAGACCAGTTAAATTTTAAACCATCAAAGTCATAAATGACAATTTAAAGGATATGTCCTTACCCTTCACATTTGCTACAATAATCCCTATATAAAAAAATCTATATTTCATCTAAGATTTGCAAAATCAAAGTCAAAGATAAGGATAAAGGGAATATATAGATGTTTTGAAGTAAAACAACTTCTCTTGCATAGACCCATGTCATCTCTCAATCTTTTACTTAATAAAAAAATATGAAACAATATGAAAAATGATACTGATTGGTGCTAACATTCAAACAGTAGAGCCATGCATACTATTTTTCAATTTCTTACAAAGGGAAAAAAGCAAAAGCAAATAAAAAAATCTTAAAATAAAAAAAATATGGAACATTGTGTTATCTTTCAATCTCTTGAATCTAAGGTGCTTATTCAACTCAATTCGAAGCTTAAGCAATGAAGCCAATTAGTTTGTCACCTTTGGCAAAGTTCCTTATACCATGTTTATAGTAAAGGATAAACATATTACTTTGCTTTTTTTTTTTCCTATTTTGGAAACTAGCTAACTTGTACAAGTACAACATCTATATCATCTATTATCACAATCAAGGTTTCTCAACATGGCACTCAAGGCCTTTTTCTAAGAAAAGAAGATCAAGTAATCAGTAAGGCAAAAACTTTCTATTCTCCATTATTAGTTCATTCTCTATATATCAACCATCAAGTTGGATTTGACTAATGATACAAAAAAATCATTGCATCCATGTTACCTTAACAACTCCACTAACTTGAGAAAGTTGTTCCACAACCATATTTAGTGTTGGCTATGCAAGCCAAAATTCATTTTCATATTTCTTTATAGTCGAATTATCACACTCTAATAAACCTAACAGTACTTTTTAGTGTTTATTTATATTATCCATGCATTATCATCAGTTGAAGGTTTCTTATTTTTCATACCTGTTTTACACTACAACTTTTCAACAGAGATTGCAACCATTAAGTAAATAATTCATTTATCCTCATCAACAATTTCGAAGGCTCAACTGATCCAAAGGTTTGAATCAACAAAGGCTTTTATTAAAAGGTTGGTAATAAATTCTGGCATTGAAAGATTGAAAGCTTTTAGTAGCTAAAAATCCAACTGGCTTTTGGGAAAAGACTTAAGGTTTATAATGGTTTTGTAATTTGTCAAATGAGGAGAAAGAATAAAAAAAGCTATTTTTTGAAAAGTGAATGAATGCATAATAGCTACCTCAGCTTATCATTTGCATACTTTGTTAAGCCAATTCAACAAACCTACAACATTTCAAGTTAGTAAGTCATTCATCTTTAGGACACCAAAAGTCAAGTGGAGCAAATAGATAGCTAAATGCATAAAGAAAAATTAAGAGACAAAACTCATCCAAATGTTCTAAAAATTCATTATTCTGTATATGATTAAATTTGTTTAGTTTCATCCAGTTTGATCCTAATAAGTACTCTGAATGCAGGTTAGGTGGTTGCAGTTTACATGTAAAGACCAATAAACTATTAGCAAATTCCTAGCATTAAACTTACTGCATCTTCTCTTGATATCACATGCTCTTTTATTGTCCTTACAGCCAATACTCCACCTTCACCAGCAGAATTTTCTTAATCATTTACATTTCCAATTTTCTTGGGTTTAAACTTGTAGATTGGCAATGTATTTATAAATTTCATGGTGGCTCCTCTAGTTTGTGAAAAATCCTTTCAAAAACCCAGGATAGAAATTATGCAGGGTAAGCAACAACAAATTGTTGCACATAGCATGAATGGCATGGCATATGCAATAAAACTAAAAGTAAGGAACACTATACATAATTTGCAATGAAATAGATATATAGTTCACAAACCGTAATGAAATCGTGAATCTTAATCAAAATAGAGCAATAGGTATCGTTAGTCCCATTGTATTTGTACAATTTAAAAGCATAAGAAGAAGATAAGTGACCTCCAAATATCCACACATTGCCCACGACAAACCATACTACAAAAAAATAATCTAGGGCCATTGAGGTATTACTTACTCTTCAATCTAAGGCATTGCTTACTCTAAAATTGAAGAGTAAGTAATACCTCAAATTTTAATTCCTTTAAAAATAAATTACTTACTTTTCAACATTAAAATTCAACTTGACAAATTCATATTGTAGACACTTAATTTTGTTTGAGTTAATTCAAATTTATTTAATTTTTTATGCTAAATTTATATGTTCTTATTTGAGCTAATTTAAACGGTAAATCGAATTGGATTTGTTCGAACTTATTTCAAATTGGTCATTTTTAATTATTATTATTATTATTATTATTATTATTATTATTATTATTTAGAATTAATCAAATTAATTGAAAAATTACAAAAAATAATTAATTAATTAAAATTAAATTACAAAAAAGGTAAAAAAACAGAACTAAACAACAAATGGTAGTGGCCAATAGTGTCAAG